ATGTGGCCACGGTTCATGTTCTGCCAGAAATCAACAGCAGAGGGCATCAGCGCTCCACTCACGTCCACCATCAGACAGGAACCGGAGGCGGAGCCTACCAGCAGCAGGGCGGTCTGGGCATCACAGAGAGCCTGACTCTCATCCTGGGGGCTGGACTTCCTGTGCTGTTGGCCCTCGGCCTACCAGATGATTAATCTGTAAAAACAGTCTCCCAGCATAACAGGACCGGTGATGTGTAATATTTCATTTGAAAATGTTTATATATTTTTTTTTATTAAGACTTGAGAATGCTCTCTGTGAGTTTTATCATGATTAGTGTTATGAAACTCCCCACATTTTCTGTTTAACTATTATACAGTTTTGATTAATTGTTTTATTAGCTGAGAAACAAAATAAAAGCCTGTGGTGTTTATGTGCAGTTGGAATTTTGCATCTGTGCATTGTCAAGGACATAAAAGATTGTGATATTTTATATTCTTATATGTAGAATAGACTCCAATTTTATTTTGCCCTAGAAATTAAGTAATTCTCACTGCCATAAAGTTGCAAGCTTAAGTGCAATACAGTGCTCTTTTTCAAAAAAAAAATTTGAAAATGTTATTTGTTTTAACTTTTGTATTAAACCAAGAATGCCTTGTATTAATATAAACCAATGTTTATTTTGAAATAATACATGCACATTAAGATGGCATGACAATCTCTCTGGTACGTGACAATCTATTCAAAGCCATAAAAGCTGCTGTTTTGTGTGCATTTTTGTGTTTTGCAGATCACTTGACAAAAAAATCACTTGACCTTAAGATGTTTCTTAATGTATCTGCTGCTGCTGATATTTTATTATTTATTTATATTTATATTTAGCTTTTAGTCATATAAATAAATAAATACTGAACGGAACAAATCAGTCTCAGATTTGCAAAATAAAATCCATATAAAAAAATTATATAAAAGTGAGAAATACTGTAAAACGCCTCAAAATGTATTGCTTAATAAAACCTTCACATTACATAATCACATTATTTGTTCAAATAAATGTCAATAAAAAATACATGTGCAGTCTAAAAGCTTATTAATTGCCTGATAAATACATTTTACCAGCACTGTAAACACCTCATTTGAATGAACTGGTTCTCTGTTGCCTAAGCTGCATTTACATTTGAACGTGACTATGAAGTTGTTTTATACTCCTCTGTCTTTTGTTTGGCTCCATTAATACTATTATAATTAGCCTATTATAATTTTCTAATTAACTTTTCCTCAGACTAATTTAGTTCTACACTATTCATAGTTCCAGGTGGCCCAGTTGAGCTCGGTTTCTCGTGCCATCCGGTCAAAGGTGCGACGGGACGTCTGCTCACTCACCCTCTCCCGCATGTAGCAGGAGGCGTGAGCCACCTTCCGGCTCCGCTCCTGGGCCTCGGCCCTCTCTTTCTGCAGCTTCTCCCTGCGCTGTTCAGCCTTGCATCTCTCCTCCCACTGCGCTTTCTCCTCCTCCAGGACTCTTTCTCGTAGTCTGTGATGGCTGAGCTTCTTCTCCTGGTTTTCTCGTCTGACGCCTTGAGCTCTTCGCCGCCGTTGCTCCTGCGCCTGCATCACTGCACGCTCCGTCTGCAGCTGGCAACCTTGCACCCACATTTGCTTCTGCTCCATCCTATCCCTGTTCTCCCTCCTCGCCCGCTGCTGCGCCATCCGCATCTGCACCTCCTCTGCTGCACGCGATCGCATTTCCTGCACCCGCGCCTCTAGAAGCAGTGCATGGTTCTCCTTGGAACATTGCAGCTTCTGCTCCAGTCCTTTCCGCTTGAGCTCCTTCTCTGCACGCTCCTGCTCCTTGACCTCCTTTTTCAGGAGGTGTTTGAGTAGCTCCCTCTGGTTCGATTGCTTGAGTCTCCTCCTTTCTCTCTTCTCCTGCATTCGCTTGCTCCTCATTGCGTGGTGTTCTTTTTACCTGCGCCTCCTGCAGCTCCTTCTCTCGCTGCGCCTCCTCAACGCGCTCATTCTCCCGCACGAGCCTCTCCTGGTAGCGTTTGTGCTCTTTTGCATCCCTGCTCGCCACATCAAGCTTGAACCTGCGTCGAGCTTGTTGCTCCTCGGCGAGCCTCCTCCAGCGCTCCTCCTGCCAAAGCGCCTCCCGCTCGCGCTGCTCCGCAAGCATCGCCTCCTCTTCCTCTCGCAACCTCCTCCACTCCTCCAAGTCCTCCTGCCAGCGGCGAATATGTTGCAGAAGTTCTTTGCGCTGCTTTCGCTCCTCCTCGCGCCTGTGCTCCTCCTCGCGATGTTGCTCCTCAAACATGCTCTGGCATAAACGAAACTGCTCCTCTTCGTGCTTGGCCAGCATCAATGCAGCAATCTTGCGATCTTTTTCTGGGACGGCGATGCTTAGTTTGCGACTGATCTCTTGCAAGAGGCTCTTCTTCAGCCGACGCTCCATCGCAGGAGAACGTCTGAGGTCGGCCAGGCTGAAACTGTAGGGAAACTTCTGACCGCATGCGGTCGGGAACCCATCGGGAGATCGAAATCGCAGACTTTGAATTATTATTTGTGAACCGTGTCTCAGACATTGGGCTTTGGAATCGGTGCTTTGACTCTCAGCTGTTTGCTCCAGGACGGTTTCCAGGGCTGTGAATGGTTTTACAGATGACTTTCTATTCCAGCCCTCTTGTATGATCCACTCTCTCTCCTCTCGACACAAGCGCAGTTATTCTCTTCTTCCTTTCTCGTACTCCTCATATAATGCAGTCACCTCCTCCAGAGAGGACTTCTGGTTTTCATCAATAAAGTCTGTGAGGGATCGGAACAGCAAATCAACAGGTTTCACTCCCAATCTTGCACAGGCTTCAAGTGAACGTGGGCTTGTCAGAACATATCTGCTGTCTTCAGCTTCAGGAGAGTTGAAATTGTTTAAATCTAAATGCAGGAGAGGTGAAATTGATCTAATATGCTCCATTAATAACTGTGGTCAACCTACTTCATGCATTTGATCGAGAATACAGCTGGTTTACAAATCCGTCATATCTAGTTTTATATGTAGAAACGTTTTGTAATACGTATTCGCGCCTGATGCCGAGTTCAGACTACACAATATTTTTGTCGGTCACAATAGAACATGCTAGTCTTTCTGTCGTGATGCATCGCAGACGCGGAATCGGTTGTCGTCCACTATGACACACTACACGTGCTGAAACGATCGTTTACGAATCCCCACGACACCCTACGTCAAGCAAATCGTGGCAAAATCGGGCTAAAATAGTGTAGTCTGAACCGGGCTTTAATCTGCTCTTCAAAACCTCGAACGCTTCTCTGGTTGCCATAGCAGCGCAGCAACGTCACAGGAACAGCTTCAATTCTTTTAAGCTCATGGAAATAATTCAAATTCAAAACAGCGCCATCTAGCGATCAGGCGACGGTATTTTTGCCACGACATTTAGCACTAGCACACTTTTCAAAGCAAAGCACTTTAAAAATGTTTGTTTGGTTAATTGGAAATATTAAAACAATATATATAATGTTGAAATTGAAGACAAAAATATAAAAGTATTGTGAATCGTTCATAGTTAGAGTTAATGATCTACACGTGGTTCCTCTACTAGGTCACCTGTGTGAACTTGAGGAGAAATAACTTCAAATATAACCAATAAAACTTAAAATCAAATATCATTGAGCCATTGAGGTAGTGAAAAGATCCTGGAGCATTTGTTTGCATGACATTTTCTTTGATATTTTGCCATTTTCACTCTTTTCATATATAAAATTGACATTAAACCGTTTTCTCATGTGACTAAAACAGAAATGTATGAATAATATTAATCAGTGTTAACTAACAGTTTTCATCATTTTAATGCCCTTGTTTCATGGCAATGACCCCAGTTAACTATAACCATAGGAAGTATGGTATTTTTATCATGAAAATCAGCCTTTGTAAATAGGTAACAATTGGTGGATGTAACATTTAAAAGTTGCATCAAACAAGTCAAGGGGTCATATGATGCGATTTCAATTCAGAACACTTCAACCCAAATATTCAGATGTGTGCAGCACATTTTAATGTACAGTATGTGGAAAATAATGTGTTTTTTTAACCTTAAACCGCATAAACACATTTCATTACACCAAATACACAAAATAATGTTCTTTTTAGCAACGTCATATGACCCCTTTAATGAAAAGTTTCTTGGGTTTGCCACAGGAATGACGGCACTAATCAAGCAAACTTCCTGTAATTACAAACTGTTTTTACTGAAACGCTCCATTACGAGACACTGACAGACAAGCTGTTGAGTCTCTGGTGCAGCTCACGTACTGAACAGACACGATCACGCAGTTACAAACAGAAATTTGTTTATTTCCATCCACAGTCCCACCCGACCACACATTTCAATTTTGCCAATTTTTTGGAAAACACCTCATTCAAAAGACACCAAAGCAAGTTGTGCATTTACATGATGTTAGAATGTGTCGTCATACATGCTGCATTAAACAAATTAATAAAAAAGCTGTTAGAAAAAAACAAATAATAAGGTCAAATGTAACACTTTTAGGCCTTCATTTAAAATGAGAAACTTCAGCCATTGCTGACAAAATGTACTAAGGCCAATATTTGAAAGCAAGTTCAAATCAAATACATGCAGCTGACAAAATAAACAGCAGACATCTGAATGGATCTTATGATTCAAAATGCCACTATAAACTCAAATTGGGGCCCTTTAATGGTGTGATACAGTACGATTTATCTAGAACCACTGCAAAATTAGTTCCTTGTTTTGTTTTCAGTACAAATATCAAAACATTCTTAAATGAAGAGACATTTACTTAAAGATGACTTAAGATGTTAAAATTAGTTGAGTTTATGCTTAAAACAAGTAAAAATGTCTGTCAATAATGCAAGAAAAATAAGCTTAATTCAAAAGGGAAAACCAAATGATTTATTTTTTTCTCGTTTTAAGCATAAACTCACTTAATTTTGATGTATTTTTCAGAAAACAAGATTTTATGTCATCAAAAAGTCATTTTGAATTTTTAGACATTTGCAAAGGGAAAAAAAAAAAGACGAAAATAATTTTTGCAGTGACCTACTGCCCTAATAGCTGCATGTCTCTGCCATTACTAAACGAAGCTAAAACAGGACCATTAAAACTGTTAATATCTACAAAAACATTAAAAGTAACTAAAACAGAAAGGGGTTAACTTGAACTATACATTATTGCTAAATACTGAATTGGCACATTTTACAAAAAGTATACAAAAAAAATGCAGATAGATTTGGCTCTTTTTTTTACCTGATGATGATGCTCATAACATCATGATGTTGATGAAGATGGTCCCTCTTTGAATCCCTGTGTGAATACTGTCTATTCCAGTTCCACTTCTTCAAGAAAACACAAGAGGGACAAACAGGCAAGCGGATACATGTGCAGTATGAAAACATTCTCTCTGGCTCTGTGTATATCTGGGGTTAAAGTTCCTCTTCTTCATCATACGGAGAACTAGGCCACGGTTCTAGATCATGGCCCGGAAAGCGAAGGATAACGCGGCTCCCACAGCCAAGCCAAGAGAGAGGAAGAAGGCCATGATGGCCCCTGCGGTCTCCGCTTCATGTTGGGACACTTTCCTGTGGGACGAACACAAAACATTAGAGGGCATGAAGAGCTTTGACTCAACTGTTAGATGAACATCATCATGCCAGTGTTTACTGAACAGATTCAACTTGTATTGCTCTGTCTGAGACTGAGATTAGGTCTATTTTCCGCACGCATGTTGATGATATTCTGTACGTACTTTGGTCCGAAGCACATGCAGAGGCTGGCCAGGTATCCGTTGCTGAAGGAGAAGAGGATCATGAAAACGATGTACCAGGCGTCGTGAGAGAACACCACGGGCAGGTAGTGTCTGGGCTGAACGTTACAGAGCACAAAGAGAGGAACGAACACCAAGCGTGCGATGACCAGGATGGGCAGCCAGATGCTGTCTTTACCGGGCTGAACAGAGAACAGAGAGCACATGTCAGAATGTGTCCACAAATATTCATCATCATCATCATCTTCAGAACAAACCAAATCGGAGAAATTTATTACATTTTATTTATCAAGACACCATTCAGTTCATGTAAATACTGTATTAGTGATAGCTAAATATACAAATTTTATATTGAAGTACTAAAATGACTCAAATTCAAAGCTATTGCTAAAGAGAACTATTTCAAATTGTAATTTAAAATGATGAACAACAAAATTATAAAATTACACAATTATATTACTGTGCCCACTTGAGCCAATTAACAGCAAGGTCTTTGTTCTGTCAATTTCAAAATGTATTCATTTTTTTTTTTTTTTTTTATAATGTGCATAACTTAAATTTTTTTTTGTTTGTTTTTTTAGGTTAAACTATATTGTTTGTTTTATTTACTATTTTTATTAAAACTATTAAATGGTTTGCATTGCAGGGAAATAAAATATGAATATTAGATTAAAAATAAAAAGTGAAATAACCTAAGCTCAACTTGAAGTACTAAAAATACTCAAATTCAAAACTGAAATAAAAATAAATTATTGCTAGAGAGAAATATTTAAAATTGTAATTTAAAACAATGAAAAACATAAAATTACACATTAACTGAAGTTAAAAATGAAATTAAAAGCCAACTCAAAGTGAATTACTAAACACTGAAAATAATGTTGAATTAAATGTAACATTTATTATTAATATATAATTAATATTATTTAAAATGTATTTAATATTTATTTAAATAATATTATTTAAATTTAAATATTTATTTATTTAAAATATTGGGTAACACAAAAAAAGGTTGAATTTGTTAACTTAGTTAAAACTAGCTTTTTTTAAACATTTACCAAGTTATTGTTAATCTCAACATTTATTAAGGCAAGGCAAGGCATAATATAAATAATGCCATAATATAAAATATGCATTTTTATAATAATGTCATAGTTTTAGATTATATTATCATTATCTCAACTACCTAGGTCCATCAGGACCGCTTCGGCCATTATCAAACCCATGCTGGTCAACCACTGCAATCCGTCTGCTTAAGCAGTGCATGAGGAAGACTGAAGAGCAGGCCTTCATCATTCAGTGCATTCTGAGGTCATGCGAGTGTCCCTGTGAAAGTGCTTTTTCTCCTAAAATACTCCAAACCCATGACAACACAATCTAAATCTGGCAAATTTACAGCTACTGCCTGCACGAGACATCTTAAATTAATTTACTACATGCTGATCTACAGCAGTCATAGTTTCTCCCATGTTGCTCAGCTCTTGCCCTACCAATGCACACTTATTTCATTCGCTCATTTTGAACATTTACAGACTCGAGAGAAACAGGTGTTGGATTGAGTGTGGTAATAGCGGACATGAGCTCGTGTTATTAAAGACAGAGCGATGGGATCTGCTCCACTGAGGTTTTCCTTGAGAACTTCATCAGTTTTCCCTGTAAGTGAGTTTGATGTTTTATAGAGGAAGTTACAAAGCAGGCTGAATTCCGTGTAAAAGTTCTCTGTGTTGACTTACATTTGCAAATCGTGAGAGGAACTGAGCTCAAATCAGATCAACTCTTGTTCAGACCATACAAACATAATTATCAAACAAACCAGCGATGACTAAACTGACACTTCCCTAAGCACCAAAGACATGAACGCATAGTTGTTGAGAGCTGATTTAGCAACAACATTCACAACCATGACAATATCTGATTATTAATACACAAATACATAAAAGCCTTGATGTGTACTATATTTGTATTATAATAAATAACACCCTTCATATCATCTATATCTGTATTATTATAAATTATATGTCTTGATATCTCCTATTTGTATTATGATAATCTATATTTGTATTATAATGATAAATAAAAGCTTTGATAATAATACTATTTGTATCATGATAAATAAAAATATTAGGGCTGTCAGTCGATTAAAATTAATTAATTTTAAATTAAAAATGAATCGAATTAATCGCAAACTAAATTTGGCTGTGAAAATACCCCCAAAAGATCATTTAAAGCTATTATTGTGTTAAATGTTTAGGCTACAGCAGCCTAACATAAAGTATGGAACATAAAAGAAGATCATTTTTAGAAACATCTCAGTATTTTTTGTTCATGCAATGACAGTCACTAGTGACCAAAACAGCTTAGTTACCAAGTATTCAAAATACCTTCTTTTATGTTGTGCTAAAGAAAGCAAGTCATTCAGGTCTGAAACAACATGAGGGTGAGTAAATGATGACAGTTTATTTCTTTATTTATTTTTGGTGAACTATCCCTTTAATGTTTTTTTTGTTGTTGTTTTCTTAAGAAATGAAATGATACTCCAAACAAGAAACTAAAACTACCAGCAGGTGGCAGTAAATGTCTTTGTGAGTCGCTTCGTTCAAACGGCTGATTCATTCAGGAATTCAGTAAACGGCTCTCTCTATGAACGGGCTACTGAATCATTGATTCACTCGATTCGTTCAAAATGCGGATTCGTTCAGAAACTAAACACAACAGTTCTGCTGTGGGTTTTTTTTTTTTAGGTAATATTTTCGTTGGCAAAATTGAACAAAAACACACAATATTGTGTTTAAAATATAGCACAATATTACATTCTTATTTACTGAACTGTTGCATAAAATCACATGTGCACTCATGTTCTTCGTGACAAAAACAGTACTCCTGTGATAGCTCTAGCTGCTCCTGTGATATATTACTTATCATATGATATAAATATGAGACAAAAACTCATACAGGGGCATTTTTTGTTGCCCCAATATTTTGAATTTTAGGGCATAAGTGCATTAATGGAGTTGTTACCCTGCATCATATTTGTCAACAGTCAACTGTATGAAATGTAAGATGACGTACAGGTCTGGGGCAGGGGGCAGTAAAATATTTTAATCGCGTTATTTTTTCATAACTAATCAAGTTAACTCGTTAAACTGACAGCCCTAAAAATATATATTTGTATTATGATGATAACTAAAAATCCTTCATATTTACTATATTTGTATTATGACAAACAAGTCTTCACATCTAAGAAACTAAAACTACCAGCAGGTGGCGGTAAATGACTTTATGAGTCGATTCGTTCAAACGGCTGATTCATTCAAGAATTCAGTAAACGGCTCTCTCTATGAACGGGCTACTGAATCATTGATTCACTCGATTCGTTCAAAACGCGGATTCATTCAGAAACTAAACAACAGTTCTGCTGGGGGTTTTTTTTTTTAGGTAATATTTTCGTTGGCAAAATTGAACAAAAACACACAATATTGTGTTTAAAATATAGCACAATATTACATTCTTATTTACTGAACTGTTGCATAAAATCACATGTGCACTCATGTTCTTCGTGACAAAAACAGTACTCCTGTGATAGCTCTAGCTGCTCCTGTGATATATTACTTATCATATGATATAAATATGAGACAAAAACTCATACAGGGGCATTTTTTGTTGCCCCAATATTTTGAATTTTAGGGCATAAGTGCATTAATGGAGTTGTTACCCTGCATCATATTTGTCAACAGTCAACTGTATGAAATGTAAGATGACGTACAGGTCTGGGGCAGGGGGCAGTAAAATATTTTAATCGCGTTATTTTTTCATAACTAATCAAGTTAACTCGTTAAACTGACAGCCCTAAAAATATATATTTGTATTATGATGATAACTAAAAATCCTTCATATTTACTATATTTGTATTATGACAAACAAGTCTTCACATCTACTGTATTTGTATTATGATAAATAAATAAATATAATCCATATCTACCATTTGTATTATGATCAATAAAATCTATATTTGTATTGATAAGTAAATAAAAATCCTTCATATCTACTATTTGTATTATGACAGATAGTAAGAAATAAATACAATCCTTGATATCTACTATAAATAAAAATAAAACCATTGATATCTACTGTATTTGTATTATGAAAAATAAAATCCTTGATATCTAATATAAATAAAATCTTTGATATATACTATAAATAAAAATAAAACCATTGATATCTACTATAAATAAATAAAATCAATAAATCCAATCTAAACGAGATAGAACAAACAAGTGAATAATCTGTTCAAACTGATTTACAGAGAGTAAAGATTTGATTTTTGATAAACGCCGTAAGTGGAAGAAACTTGATTTGACCACTGCACTAATTTGTTTCTCAAAACCCAGGTTGCAATCAAAAAGAACACCAAGATTTTTAGCACTGGGTGTAAAGTAGGAAGAGAAGTGACCAAAATGAAGCGCCCAGTCTTCATATGACTTTAAAGGTGAAAATTTGACTTTTCCAGGTTTTAAGTGCTATAATCAGGTCCCTGGTGCATCTACCAACCAAGGAAACGTGAAAAAGATGAACCCAGTAACTTTGTTTTGGGAAGCCTTTTTCTGCAAGCGTCTGAAAAAACCAGCGCCTCTGATTTCGCTCCCTTGGTGACGTGGCAAAGGGATCTCATTATAATATTACCGCCCCTTAATCTGTAAGTTTACACCCAAGGCGCCATCATTTGTTTTCGCAAGCAACAACGGTGTACCGGCTCTAATGCCATGATGAAAGTTTGAGCAAAACGTGCTAACTGTTCTGTCTTTGGCTGCACAGACGAGCACAGAACACTGTTTAGAGTCCCAGCCTCAGAGGAGACA